GGGATGTATACCCAAACTGCCGCCGACTTCAGATTTCAGGGTTGAGACCAAAAAAGTACCAACATTTTTGTGAAGTGCTGTAAAATGAATTTACGAAGGGTTTTAACTTCAATTCAACTTTATTATAGTATCAGAAATACAATGAAATTTGTATTTTCGCGCAAAAAAGAGATCGAGAAAACTAATGGCGTGTAAATATTAATATTGTACAATTTGTTCAATGGATGGGACACCTAGAGGACAGCGATGTACACTCAGCAGCAATGAATGTGTGTGAGTGGATAACAACGTGTTGCTTGGTGAATGCAACAAAATATCAGATAAGAATATCTGATATTTTTATTCAAGCTGATAGAAATATGCGTCAGCATGCTGAAGTGTACCTATGGATGTTTGATCATTCGATCAATAGAATTAAGTGTGCCGTTTGTCACTTCAGGTGTACCAATGAAATTTGGTCGTTTTATGCGTCACATCAAGTGTACTTGTTCGATTTCGAAGTGTAACTATGAATGATTTTTTTCTATACATTTATACGGATTTTTTTGCGTTTTTTCGGTTTTTCTCCCATTACTCGTACCGCATATGCGATGAAGCAAAATTTTGTTCAGCAAAGTTTTGAATCTCGTTGATACCTACAATTTTGCTGCAGACAGTTATCACTTATCTCTTATCAATGAGGAGATAACAGTGATAATTGATAAGAGTTATCAAGGACATTATCTCCTTACTAATAAGAGATAAGTGATGACTGTCTACAGCAAAATTGTAGGTTCCAACGAGATCTAAAACTTTGTTGAACATATAGAAAAAAATCAATTTTTCCCGCTGCACATTCAGAGATGATTTGAACCAAAGTGGAGGGTTTTATCAAAAACTAATGTTTGGAATTTTCGACGAGAAATCCAAAAATGCAATTATTCTGGGGGTGAGGAGTGAGGTTTACCCACTTTGGGGTAGTTTTTGTACTTTTTTCACTTATTGAACTCTGCTCTTCGAATTGAGGTTACATGCGAGGCCAACACTATGTGCCAATAAAATCTATGGGACCAGGCGCAACTTTCATGGGATGTGGCTTATGTGCCCATTTGAGTTTTAATTAACCCAAATATGTATATGGAAACATATAATTTTGGTTTTGGGGTTTTTGAGGTATGCCCTTTCGAACGCGCATGGGCATTTGAAAATTGGCGTCTGACATGATTGTATGTTTTTTGGTGAGCCTGAAGATTTGAATTCATTTTAGGCTCTCAGAATATTGAGATGGGTATCTGCAACCGTTTTAGGTTTTCTTAATATGGGCTGCCAGACCCATAGGCACCGCCACTGGTTAGGATGTCGTTACCTGGGGCGCCATCCGAAATGTAGCACAGACTAATCCTCTGCGTACCAGATAAAATAAAAATG